CAGACTATACCAGCATTGCAAAGCAGAACTCTAAGCTAGACAGGCCTTGAAGAACTCCAAATGACCCTGCGACCATTTTCACTCAAGCCAGAAGGGAAGCACTTCCTCTAGTGGTCCAACAGAACATCTGAGGCTGATGCAAACACAGTCCTTCATTTGCATGAGAGACTGTGCCATGGTTGATACAAATGTAGTCCTTCATTTGCATACGGGTCCCCTGTGATCAGTGCAAACACCTTTGCCGTACCCCACCCAGTTCTGGCTATATCTGCAGGCTGAGTGGTTCGCTTTTCAAGTCAGCTGGGAAATACCCTCCTGTGCTGCCCTCTGGTGTTACAATGTTAGAATGGTCTTTCTTACCTACTTTTGATCTTTATCACTAGTAGAGTGGGGTGGTGGCAGTGGCAACAACAGCAGCAGTAACAGGTGGATAGCTAAAGCGTTCCAGACAGCAGCTGGGCAAGAAACAATAGAGAACAGGGGCAGTGGAAGCAGAAAGAAGGCAAGAAAAGGTGTAGAGCCAAAGCTATGAAAAACCAGAGAAGAGAAACTGATGTCCTGGTTACTGGAAGAGGTGTAGGGAGCTGCCATGCATTAGAGGCAAAGACTCTTAGACACCCTAGTTCTGAAAGATGTATTCCTAACCACTCTCAAAGACTGAGAGTCTAAGATCTGTAATGCTAGCCACCAAAAAGTTGAACCACATGTCCTTACAGGGCAAGGGTCCCAGCATCTGAGGCCTGTTCAAGAGCTGTAGCAGTAGCCGGTGCCACCTGCTGCTGGTGGATGCTACTGTTGCTGTCTCTCACTGCTCCTGGAAGCCAAGGATTACAATAGCAGTCAATGCCAGTGCTTCTAGTAGTTAAAGCCCAGGGAAATAAGTTCCAACAGCACTGCCTGGAATCATAAGTCTAGCTTCTAAAACATGGAACAACAGGCCACTAGTTCTCAACTCTTAACTGTAAGCATCGGGTTCTGTCAGTCCAGCCCCTAATCCTTGGACTCTCAAGGACTGGAATTGCTAACACCAGAAGAGCTTATGCTCGTTCACTCAAAATTACTGAGTAGAGCGAAAGTACTCCAGCCAGTTGATTGGCAAAACCACTTGGAGGCCGTCCTCAAGCATCTTACAAGACTTAGCTCTTATGTGATAGAATTCTTCAGCCTCTCCATGACTCATCGTTCTGTTTGGAAAAGAAGCTACTGCTTAAAAGGCTTCAGGCAGAGCAGCTTGTAAACATGACCTATTACACTTCCTTTTTTATTTTCAGTGTGGACCTCTACTTAATGATTTCTAAGACATTAAGAAACTCACTCATTTGGCCGGCGAGAAGCAAGGTAAAAGTGCTTACTGTGCAAACCCAACTATCTGAATTCAAACCCTGAAACCCACATAAAGATGGAAAGAGAGAACTGATTCCACAAAGTTGTCCTCTGGCCTTCACATATCCACCATGGCATACATGCTCCACCACTACACATATATCACGCACATGTGTGTATGCATACACACAGACGATAATAACACACTCATTTGATATCCAATAAGAACAACAAAAAATGGGGGTTTTTCCATGATACTCTGAAGCTGTGCCCCATGAGTCAGAAGGTGAGTGATATTGTTGTTCCCTGTCACGTTTAACAAGAGACTAAGACAGCGTTTCAGGCAAAAACGTTCATAAATGAAATAAGCCAGAGTGAAGGGAGTACAGAGACGGGGCTTTCGAGGGGTGGAGAAGTTGCTGGACACCAACAGCAGGAAAAGCACTGAAAGGGGTGTGAGAGGCAAAGGTCTGCTAAGATACATCAGAGGAATTCAGCACATATTGCAAAGAGCAGTTTAAAGGACCATTGAAAGAACAGTTTAGTTTGTTGTTTCATATAGCCTCAAAGTGACTGCCATGAAGTTGTAAGAGAGGGGCATAGGATATACAGAGAGATAAATGAACATTGGTATTTTTATCTTTAAAATCTCTAGGTATAATTTCTGGTGCAAGAAACTGTTTTGAAACAAATAGGTCCAAGCTGGGCATGGTGGCGCATGCCTTTAATCCCAGCACTTGGGAGGCAGAGGCAGGTGGATCTTTGTGAGTTCAAAGCCAGCCTGGTCTACATAGTGAGTTCCAGGACAGGTGGGTCTACAGAGAGACCCTGTCTCTCAAAAAAGAAAGAAAGAAAGAAAGAAAGAAAGAAAGAAAGAAAGAAAGAAAGAAAGAAAGGCAAGACATTTCTTAGGCAATTATATTGAGGAAACAAACAAACAAACATAAACCTGATCTGAATAACTAAGTAAAGACATGAAATAGAATTTGGTATCTGAACTTGCCCCATCAGGAAGCAGGCTGCCAAAGCTATGCACTCCCCAAGGAGGGCAAGCTCCCCACTTCACAGAACACTGGGGAAGACAAAGATCCAGAAGAAGGTGGTGACACAGTTTGGGTGAGGAGGTGCAGGCCTTTAATCCCAGCACTGGGAAGCAGAGGTCAGTAGATCTCTGTGAGTTGAAAGCCAGCTTGGTCTACATAACAAGTTCCAGGACAACCAGGGCTACATAGTGAGACTGTGCCTCAAAAAATTACAAAAGGAGAATGACAAAAGCTTTTTCCCAAATGAGCAAAATATTTTCTAATCTAGGAACATCCTCCCCTGCCAGGAAAGGCATCTACACGACAGCTATCCAGTAGCATTTCATAATTGCTTTGGGCACCATGGCTGTGGCTGTGCAGTTCTCATGCTTTCTTTACTAAATGGCTGACTTTATTGCCATTTTCCTGTCCCTGTTCCATCATTGTGTGTTGAGGGGGTTTACTGCAGTGGTGATAAAATGGTAACAACTTGGCCCTTCGCTCATAAACTGTTGGAGGATGAGGATATTCATTCGGACTAATTAGAGAAATCACATTCCAGATTTATTTATCTTTATTTATTTATTGTACTACTTGGGATTGAACTCAGGGCCTCCCACATGCAAGATAAGTTCTTTACCACTAAACTCCATTCTCAGCCTTGCATTCCAGATTTTGATTTTGGCTTGGAGGTTTGGGGGGGTGTTGTTGTCTTTTGTTTTCTTTTGTTTTGTTTTGTTTGAAACAGGGTCTCTCAGTTCCAGCTGATCTGGAACTATGTAGACCAGGCTGACTTCAGTCTCACAGAGATGCATCTGCCTCTGCCTCTGGAGCGTTGGGATTAAAGGCGTGCAGCACCACACCTGCCCCAGATTTTGATAGAAGCGCCATAACTGGATGGAATTTTCTGTCATCTTCCTTAAGGGAGGGGTGAATATATTTGGTAAACAGGTTGACTACAGCAGAGACCCTTTGCTGTCTACCAAAACCATTGTTCTCTTCATGCACAAATTACACTATAGTCTCATACCCCCTTTCAATTTTTTAAAGATTTATTTATTGTTATTTTATGTGTGTGTGAGTTCCTGTGTGTGTGTATGTGCACTACATGTGTGCCTGGTGCCTTTGGAGGCCAGAAGAACGCGTCAGATCCCCTGGAATTGGAGTTACAAGTGGTTATGAGCTGCCCCATGTGGGTGCTGGAAACTGGACTCAGGTCCTCTACAAGAGCAGTATGCACTCTTTTTTTTTTAAAAAAAAAAAAAAGGGGGGGGCGGCTGGAGAGATGGCTCAGCGGTTAAGAACACTGGTTGTTCTTGCAGAGGACCCAGGTTTGATTCCTAGCACCCACATAGTGGCTAACAACCATCTGTAACTCCAGTTCCAGGGGATCTGATGCCCTCTTCTGACATATGTCAGCATTGTATGACACAGGTGCACTTATATGCATGCAAGCAATACACTCATACACATAAAATGAAATCCCCTCCAACTCCTCCCAGATCTCCCCATCACTTTTTCTGATAATTCATGTATTCTTTCTTCTTCTTTGATTGATTTATTTTTTTATGGGGCTTTTGGCAACTCTAACATTCCCCCCCACTCTGAAGAGGTAACCCTAACATCTTTTAAGGATTAGATACAAGCTCCCAAACACTTTCGACATTTTTGGCCTTTGGAACAGAATATGTTGCTAAGAGGCCCAAGGACATTGTGAGTTTTAGCTATGAAACTGGCTACTTTCCTTTGGGGTCTTTTTACCCTAACATGCCTAGCCAGTTCCTACCTCCTATTCTTATCACACCATCCTCTGAAGGGGTTACCCAAATTGCCAATGGGGAATAGGGACGCTGACCACTCTGGCTTCTTCCATGCTGAACAGGGACGCAAGGTGAGGCAACTGGGGTACCCCTTCAGTGGGTCTATCTAAAAGACTCTCAAATTTCATAACTTTGGGGAAAAGAAAGTCCTTGAATCGTGAATAAGAGCATCACAGGGAGACAGGATGGGGGGCGGCTCTCAGGCAGTCCCCTGCATTCTCAGGCCCTCTGCCAGAGGGAGGCCAGAACTTGGCACTCTCTGGTGGTCTGCTGAGCACAGTATGCACTCTTAATCACTGAGCCATCTCTCCAGCCTATCCTTCCTCCCATCCTCACTTTGCAATTTGATGTCCCAAGGTAACCAAGTTTCTCCACCACAATGACAGTGAAGTAGTACGTGCCACCTAGATCCTAAGATGAGTCAAACCTGGGACTCTGTGATAGGTCATCTTTTTTCATTTTTTCAATTATCATGTAAGATATTAGATATCTTTATGGCATTTTAAAACAAGGTATGCTTTAGTGATTCTCTCCCCCTCATCTCCCTCATCCCCCGCTATCTCCCTGATCTTCCCTCGTGTCCTCCCATTCCCCAAGTCTCTTTTCCTCTTTCAAGTCTCACGTGTCCTTTGACCCTTCCCGCTGTGACGTCTAATCTTGTCAATTTGACAGGATCTGAAATCAACTAGGAGACTTACCTCTGGGCATGACTCTAAAGGCATTTTCAGAAAAGATTAACTGAGAAGGGAAGACCCTCCCTCAGCATGGGCAGCACCCTCTGATGGGTGGCCCAGATAGAAAGAGGTCAAAAGAAAAAGCAGTTTTGCCTACTCACCTTTGTTTCTTGCTGAGCAAGTGGGCCTCCTGCTGCTCCAAGAGAGCTGATGCCCTCTTCTGGCCTCCTCAGAGGGCACCTGTACATACATGTATGCAGACACATATACTCACATAAATAGAATCTTTAAAAAGAAAAGAAATTAAGTATCTTATTGAATCATGCTTTGAATATATTTGCTGTAGTATAGACTACATTAGCTGATACATAACCCCAAAGTAATACTTGTTCAACATAATATTTGTTTGTTTGTTTTAATCTCCCCATAGTCACAGCTGGCTGGGAACTCACTATATAGACCAGGCTGGCCTCAGTCTCACAGAGATTTGCCTGCCCTGCCTCTTGAGTGCTGGGATTAAACATGTGTGCCACTGCATCTAGCTCAACATAATGATTTCATATACATATATGCATAGAACTAGAATTATTAACGGTAATTATTAATACCCAACACCCCAAAGTGAACCTTATGTTTTTATTTTTTTAATTTGTGTTGTTTTGTGAGGATTTCATGTAGCCCAGGTTGACCTTGAATTCACTAAGCAGACAAGGATGACCTTGAACTTCTGATTCTCTTGCCTCTACCTCCAAAATACTGGGATTACAGGTGTATGCCATCATGTCTGTTTTTTATCTTAGGGAGGATTGAACCCAGGGCCTTGTACATCCTAGGTAAGCATTCTACCAAATAAGCTACAAAAAATTTTAAATGTATTTATTTAGGGGCTAGAGAGACAGCTCAATGGGTAAGAACACTGGCTGCTTTTACAGAGGACCCCATGTGGGTTCAGTTCTCAGCACCCACATGGCAGCTAACAACCATCCATAACTCTAGTTCCAGAGGATCTGACCCTCTCTTCTGACCTCCACAAGCATTTCATGACACAGTACACTTACACACATGCAGGCAATACACTTATATACATAAAATTAAAATAATAAATAAAATATTTTTAAATTTTTTATTTATTTAGTTTTGGTGCTGGAGATTGAACCTAGGGCCTAACTCATACTAAGCATATACTCCTTTGAACTACACCCCTGATCCCTATTTTTGCTTTTTTATATAGTGTAAGTACCACATATTACTTTCAGGTTCCTACTGATGGACACTTAGGCAGTTACTAATAATTTGCTACTGTCCTGTGTTCAAGTTCTTTCAGTTGGTACTCTGCAAATGCAAGGACCAGGTCAGCTTCACATCCAGCATTATATAGCTCTACCCACTATCTTAGGATTTCCTTTAGGTTTTTGTCAAATTATAAAGCTAATATGTGACCTTATTATTCTCTGTGGCCCATTGTTGCAAATATATATTGGAAAAGATACTCAAGAGATTACAGGGCAAATATTTACAGTGGTAGAAAGACTATAAAATAGTGGCCCCACAGCATGAATCACAGTGAAACATCTTGGGTTCAAATCCCAGCCTACTACCTATAACACAGGATTGAACCACAAGCAACTTACTGAACTCTTTTTTCAATTTATTTAGTTTTACATGTGTGAGTGTTTTGCCTATATATACATGAATGCACCTGTGTCATGCAATGCCCCCAAAGGCCAGAAGAGGGCATCAGATCTTGTGTAACAGGAGTTATGGACGATTGTTAGCCACCATGTGGGTGCTGGGAACTGAACCCGGGTCCTCTGTAAGAACAGCCAATTTTCTTAACTGCTGAACCATCTCTCCAGCCCCTTACTAAACTTTTAAAATATATTCTATTTATTATTTTTATTTGATGTGTATGAGTGTATTGCCTGCCTGTGTGTAAGTACACCTGTGTTGTTGGATACCTGTAGAGGTCAGAAGAGGACATTGGAGTTCCTGGAACTGGAGTTACTGACAGTTGTTAGTCATCATGTGGGTGCTAGGAATTGAACCTGGGTCCTCTCCTCTGCAAGAGCAGTCAGTGCTCTTAATTGCTGAACCAACTCTCCACCCCCCTAACCCCCCACCCCTGCTAAACTTTTTTAAGCATTATCTTTCTCACCTGTAAAGTGAGGATTATTTGTGAGAATTAAATGATAATGAGTGCTCAGCACATGATAATTTTCCATTAATAAATGTGTGCTGTTGGTTTTTCCTAAATATATGATTTTCTCAGTTACCAAAGAAAGCAATATTTTACCTTTAGTCTAAAGATAGGACATGTGTCACAATTGTCTTTATTGTTAAGATAGAAGATTTTTCAGGACATTAAATCAGCATGAAATTTTTTCCTTTCTAAAATAATTCCATTTTGCATACATCTCTCTACCCAGCTAGTTTCTATTTGTAATTAAGAATTTTTATTACACTTATATGAGTGTGTGCATGCTAGGGTCATAAGACTCCTTCAGGAATCTGGCCTCTCTTTTCACTATGTGGGTCCCAGAGACCATCCTGAGGTAGTCAGACTTGGTGGCAAGGGCCTTTACCTACTGAGTCATCTTGCTGGCCAATTGGTTTCTTTTCAATTGCACAACTGATATTTTCCCGTGTCAGTAGACGTATATTGACATCATTCCTTTTTTTTAAGATTGATTTATTTTCGTGTGAGTGTATGTACATGTGTGTAATGGTGTATGTGCCTATGTGTGCACAGAGGCCACAAGAGGGTGTTAGATTCCTTAGAGTTGGAGTTACAGCTATTTGTGGGATGCCTAGTTTGTTGCATGGGTGCTGAGATCTCAACTCCGATCCTCATGATTCTAATTTTATTTATGATGTGTGTGTGTGTGTGTGTGTATACAACCTTCAGGAATTAGTTCTCTCCTACTACAGGAGTTTCAGGGATCAGAACTCAGTTCTTCAGACCTGGGGGAAAAAATCTTAACCTGCTGAGCCATCCTGCAAGCCCTGGCTTTTTTTTTTTTTTGAAAGAGGGGGGGGGAGAGAGAGAGAGAGAGAGAGAGAGAGAGAGAGAGAATATCATGTAACCCAGGCTGGCCTGGTACCTACTATTTATTGATGTCAGGCTTGAGCTCCTGAACCTCTTGTTTCCATCCACCTCCCAAGTGCTATGCCATCATACCTGGCTTTTTTTTTTTTTTTTTTTTTTTTTTGGTCTTTTTGAGACAGGGTTTCCCTTTAGCCCCATCTGGCCTGAAAATCGCTATGTAGACCAGGCTGGCCTTGAACTCACAGAGATCCGCCTGCCTCTGCCTCTGCCTCCCGAGTGCTGGGATTAAAGGCATGCACCAACATGCCCGGCGTGACATTTGTTTTTAATAAACAGGGAATCCTCAAACTTCGTGAATATTTATTTTAATTTTGTAACAAAACTAGGTTATATCAGGACAGATCCTATAATATAGGTTCAAGAAATTCAGCTCTTGCTGATGCCATAATCAGTGTTAAAACAAACCATACAGGCTTTCTTATTTTGGGGTAGGAGAAAGGAAGGAGTTTAGAAATCTACAAAAATTAAATGCCACTCTTCTAACACATGGATTCCCAGAGAGAAATCGGCTGAACTGCCCAAATTAGGAAATGACTGGCTGTTTGATGGCCACAGTGTTAAGCTAAGCAATTTGCCCATTTTTATGGTAGTGGTGGTAGGGGAAGAGATATAAAAGGAACTAATCAGAATGACTTCAGATCAGTTATCTGCATAACCACTCTACTCTCTTTCCAAATAGAACTCAGTATAGTTAGAAGTTTATAAAATCAAACTTTGGAATGAATATAATGAGTAAGTAAAACTAAATAAAAAATTTAAAATTAAACTTCCACCTAAGCTGAAGAAACTGAAATCCCAGTTCAGTTTTTTTTATTATATTTATTATTTTTATTTTATGTGTATGCATATATTGCCTGCATGTAGGTAAGTGCACCCGTGTCATGCAATGCCCACAGAGATCAGAGAGGCTATTGGATTCCCTGGAACTGTAGTTATGGACAGTTGTTATCTGCCATGTGGGTGCTGGGATTCAAACCTGGGTCTTCTGCAAGAACAACCAGTGTTCTTAACCGCTGAGCCATCTCTCCAGCCCCCCAGTTCAGTTTTTAAAGTTGGAGTTTCTGAATCAGATGTCCAAATGAGTTTAATTTTCCCTGAAATTGCAGCAGGCTTAAAAATATGTGTTTTTACGGATTTAAATGAATCTTAGTATCCAACATGTCCTCTTTCCATAAAACTGTAAGCAAAGGCCTGGTGTACAGACAATGTTTTAATTTCTCTGGCATGGAATACATTTTATCTTAGTACAATTTCAGGAACTGACATTATATTATATGTGGCTTCCTTTAGCAAAAATCCCAAGGCTAAAATAGTATTAATCTTGCAACAAGAGCACAGTTCTATGCGCTGTGTTCAGCAACAAAGACGTAATAAATTAGCTCACAAAGACACGCCAAGCAAAAGCGTGTGCTTCTATCCTGTACCTGGCAAACTCCTTTCCCAGAGAAGTTTCTCCAGAGTGTCTTGCCCTCTCTGAGTTCAGGCTTCTAAAATATCTATCTAAGGAGAATTGTGATTTTGAGATCAGTCTGAACTACATAGTGAGACCCTGTCTCAAAAAACACACTATAAGAAATAAATAATCTGCCTAGTGTCTTTTACAATAACTTTGTGTTTTTCCCTTACTGAAATGGACAACTAGTTTTTTTTTTAAAGTCAGAAAGAAGGAATCCAAGCCAATCCTAACAGCAGAAAGATGTGCATTAATAGGCCATGTCTGGTGGCCCAGGCCTGTAATCTCAGCTAGTCAGGAAGCTGAGGCAGGAGAATTGCAAGTTCAAGACCTACCTGAACTATAGAGTGAGTTCACAGTCAGCCTGGGTAACTTAGTGGATCCTGCCTCAAAATTAAAAGTAAAAAGAGGACTGGAGATATAACTTAGTGATGGAGCACTTGCCTAGCATGTATGAAGTCCCTATGTTCACGTACCAGTAACATATACACATGTATATACATGTACACACATACACACACACACACACACACACGTGTGTGCTACTGTCATTCAGTGTTGGTCCTTGATTTCTGATGGATGGAAAGCCCCAACCCCATGTCCCAGCCCGTAGGTGTCTGTGAACACATTTACAGCAGGTGATTGGCCTCCTAGTCAGTCAACCTCACTCCTAAGCTGAGTTCAGCTTCAGCACCTTTTCCTTTTAGTCTCATCAACACTTTGACAGCATCTGCCTTATCACAGCTCTGTTGGGCAGGGGACACAGTCCCACGACCAGCTGTCTCTTTTCTAGAACAGACAGCTTAAACTCCTTCCTGGCTCCCTTTTGCTCTGGCAGTCTGTTGGAACCACTGTGCTTGGGCCAACACAGAAATCTACATGGACCTTTGCAAAGACAGCTTTCAATTAAATATCAAGGAGAATAAAACAATATAATGTTGTTTTACATTTTATTACATTCTATCTAGCTAGCTATCATCTACTATCTATCTATCTATTTGGGAGTGGTTCCACTTTCTACCAGGAGAGTTCAGAAAATAACTTGCAGGAGTTGGTTCTCTACTTCTGTCATGTGGGTCTCGGGGATCAAACTCAGGTCATCAGGCTTGGTGGCAAGGACCTTTACCCACTGAGTCATCTTGCCAGCCCTGAATCTATATAATGTTTTTTAAGGAAGATTGAATCACTTTAGGATTTTCCTTTTTGCTTGTCATACAGATCTGACCTCTTCCATTCCCAGGGGAGAAGAATAAAGTCAAGTCAATCCATCAGAATGCTGAAAAACTGAAGATCACAGCTTGTAAAGGTCGTTGAAAATGAGAACAGGTTAGGAGAGAATGTGGTGAAGGTGGTGGGGAGCTAGTCTGCCCACACCCAGGCCTCATTACCTCTTCCTCTTCTCCTTCTCCTCCTCCTCCTTTTTCTCCTCCTCCTTTTCTTTTTCTTCTCCCATTTTTTTAAGCAGTCTCACTCCGTAGCCCAACCAACCTGGACTGAAACTCATTGTATAGCACATGCTGGCCTCAAACTCACAGCAATCCTCCTGCCTCAGCCTCCCAAGTACTGGAATTATAGGCATAAGCCACTAAGCCTGACAGGACTAGTCACTAGAAAAAGTTTTCGAAGGTTAGCTTTGGGTCTCAGTAAGTAGGCACTGGCACTTTCCCAAATTGAGTGGCTAGTGGAGACTGCTTCAGGCAGGTCACAAATACCAATCCTCTGATTTAAAATCCAAACACTTCTTTGAAAGAGGAGACTTTAAGGGGCAGCCTGATGGGGCAGACCCTCCCAGTAGGATGACATTCTAGAAACCCAATCAAAGTGCAGAAGATATTCTTGAGGCTCTACCCCCACCACACAGGGCCCCTGGGGAATGTGTTAACTTGATACACCTCCTTTCAGGAACCCCTTCTGTCACATTCTTTCTCTACACTGGTTACTATTAATACCAGTTACTCAGTGGAGGCTTAACTTAAAACAACAGAGGCTCCTGAGGGCACCCCTTGATCTCATGACCAGATGAAATCTTCATCCTCTACTTACATTTTAATTTTCCATTGATGTGAAAGGTACAGAGACTCCATGATGGTCTTTTCCAGCCTTTCCAGGGCAACTAGTCCAGGAATGATCTCTTGTAGGGCCAATTCAAGCTGAAAAAGTAATGACTATTAATTTGAAAGACGAAGTGTTTTACATGTTCTCTGGGTCCCCAGATTGACACCCACTCATATGCTAAAATATTAAGTCTCATTAAGACAGATACTATTTTGGGAGCTGGGGGGAAACGGGCTCACGTATCCCAAGCTGGCCTGGAACTCACTAAGTTTCCAATGATGATCTTGAACTTCTGATGCACCACACCCAGTTATTGGGGTGCTGGGCTTGAACCCAGGGCTTTGTACATGTCAGGCAAACTCTCTGCCAACTGTGCTACATTCCTATCCCCAAGATAAGCACTATTACATCAATAATTCATATGGAACTATATGTCATTGTGCACCTCTGTAATTCCAGAGCTGAGGTATGAGGATCCTAAGTTCAAAGCCAGCCTGGGCAACATTGTGAGCATAAGGTCAGCCTGTCTCAAAAGAAAATCAAAAAGAAAGAGAGAAAGGAAGGAAGGAAGAGAGGGAGGGGAGGAAAGAGGGAGGAAGAGAAGGAAGAAGGGGGAATGGAAAGGGAAAAAGAAAGGAAAGGAAGAAAGACAGAGGGGGAGGGACAGAGATAACGTTGGTCATCAAAAACACAAAGGCATTTCCCCTTCATTAGTTATAACTAATTATATTACTATTATCTTTTTATTTATTAGTGTGTGTGTATACACAATTGTGCAAGTACCCTTGCACATGTATGGGAGCCAGAGGACAATTTTGTCAAGATAATCTCCTTCTACCTTGTTTTCAAGCAGGATCTCTCTTCTGCTGATGCACTAGGCTCTCCAGGCTAGCTGGCCCATAGGCGTCTCAGTGATTCTCCTTTTCCTCTCACATATATCTGTAGGAGTGCTGGGATTACAGATGTGTGCCACTGCATCCAACTTTCACATGGACTCTGGTGATAAGAGTCAGGTCCTCAGGCTCACATGACAAGCACTTTTACCTGCTCAGCCATCTGTCTGGCTCTATATTAATACTCTCTAACATAGTATTAATACTCCTATTTTCCAGCTTTTATATACTGCACATTTAAGACTTAATTATTAACCAGGCCTGGTGGCACAGGCCTATAATCCCAACTACTCAGAAGGTGTATGCAGGAGGATCTCAACTTCAATATCTGCCTGGCTTAAAGAATGAGTTCAAGACTAGCCTGGGCAACTTAGTGGACTTTGTCTCAAAATAGAAAGAAAGAATACTGGGGATGAGGTTCAGTGGCAGTGTGCTTCTCTAGCATGCACAAGACCTTAAGTTTAACCTCTAGTATCACACAGACACGCAGAAAGATTAACTTAAGGCCTGGAGTGATTGCTCAGTAGTTAAGAGCACTAGTTGTTCTTCCAGGAGGCCTGAGTTTGATTCCCAGCACCCACATCAGGTGGCTCACAACTGCCTGTAACTCCATCTCCAGGGGGATCCAATTCCTCTGGCCTCCACAGGCACCCACATGTACATGTACATACCCACACACAGACACACACAAACACACACAGACCCACAGACATACAGACACACACACAGAGAGACACAGACACACACATACACAATTAAAAATAAGAACCAAGCACAATGAAAAAAACCCAAATTATTACAAAATATATATAGAAAGTGATACTCTGGGGTGGGGGTCAAGCTCATTGGTAAAGCACATGTCTAGCAAGAGAAAGGCTCTGGGGTTGAGTCCTAACACAATGACAAAAAGAAAAGAGAAAGTAGGGTTAGAGAGATGGCTCAGCAGTTAAGAAAACTGGCTGCTTTTGCAGAGGACCTAGGTTTAATTCCCACCACCCACATGGCAGCTAACAACTGTCTGTAACTCTAGTTCAGGGGATCCGACACCCTCTTATGACCTCCTCAGGCACTGCATGACATACGTGCACTTACATACATGCAAGCAACACACTCATACACATAAAATAAAAATAAAATATATTTAAAAAAAGAGAGGCTGGAGAGATGGCTCAGCAGCTAAGAACACTGACTGTTCTTGCAGAAGACCCGGGTTCAAATCCCAGCACCCACATGGCAGCTAACAACTGCCCGTAACTCCAGTTCCAGGGGATCTGACAGCCTCTTCTGTCCTCCGTGGGCATTGCACGACACGGGTGCACTTACCTACATGCAGGTAATACATGCATGCACATAAAATAAACATAATATTTTTTTTAAAGTTGGGCACATTAGAATCACAGAACTTGGTGAGAATAGACACAAGAAGATCCTCAGGCTCACTGGCCAGTCAGTCTAGTCAAGATAGGAAGCTCCAGACTCAGTAAGAGACCCTGTCTCAAAAATTAAGATGGGGATTATTGTAGCTCACAGGGTTCATAGCGGGAAAAGACTGATGATTACTTTTCTCCTCTGGTAGCATGCGTAGCACCTTCCAGCACTATGAAGGCTAGCTAGTAGGGATGACACTTCCAGGTTAGTACCTGCTTGATTTCTCCATGTTCTAAGACTCAAGTACGTAGTGCATGGGTGCACTCACATACATGCAGGCAATACACTCAGACACATAAAGTAAAAATAATAAACAAAATATTTTTTTAAAAAAAGAAAAGAGCCGGGAGTGGTGGCACACGCCTTTAATCCCAGCACTCAGGAGGCAGAGAGAGAGAGAGAGACAGAGAGAGAGAGAGAGAGAGAGAGAGAGAGAGAGAGAGAGAATATTTTTTTTTTAAAACGACAAACAAAACAACCGGGCTCGCTGGTCCATTCCCTTAATCCCAGCATGCTGGAAACAGAGGCCAGTGAGATAAGAGGCCAGCCTGATGTACAAAGCGAGTTCAAAATTCCAGCCTCGCTCACCGAGGGCTACAAGAAAACCCAGCTTCAAAAAAATAAAAATAAAAAAGAAAGAAAGAAAGAAAGAAAGAAAAAAGAGAACATTTTAATACAATTAATACAATATCTGGCCTTATTCACAGGAGATACATTCCAAGACCTCCAGTTGATGGTGGAAATGTCAGCACTAGACCCTACATATACAGTGCCAAGATTTTTTCCTATGCGGACATACATATAATAAAGTTTAAATCATAAATTAGGGTTATGATAAATCATAACTAATAAAATATAATACATATAACAATGTACTTCCTAAGAATGATGTATGTTCTCTCTCTCAAAATATCTTATTGTGTTTTGTCTTTTTCAGTTAAAGAGAACATTTTATTCTCAATGGTATATCCAACTCATCAGCACCATTACTCTTGTGCTTTGGAGTCATTATTAAGTAAAACTATGGTGTTTTGAACATAAGCACTATGACACTGCACAGCTGATCTGACAACTGGAATGGCTACTACTAAATGAGGGTCAGGCAGGTAGCATAAACAACATGGATACTCTGGACAAACGGATGAGTCACATACTGGGTGCAAAGGCAGCAGGATGGTGCAAGATTTCATCATGCTACCTAGAAGAGCAATGTAAAATTCATGCTTTGTTTATTTCTGAAATTTCCCCTTCATAATTTTGGATCCAAACTGACCATGAATAACTAAAACTACAAATATGGAAAATACAGGTGAAGGGGACAGCTACAATAAAAACCAAAGGAAACTATGCAAATGATGTGTAAGAGATGTAGTATGTAAGATTATCCTTTATATGGATCTCTTACTCGTTTTTGTTGTAAATGAATATAACTACAAGAAATCTGATGAGAGAGGAAAAAAAATTGATGGGAGAATGTAACATAACTTAGTCCAAATATATGATGAGATGTGGTGTGCTGCTCTGTTCTTCAGGTACACCAACCAAATCCATCCTGACAAATGCAAAAAAAAAAACACCTCATTTGTCCATTTTCATTTGTCTGTTTCTATCTCAAAACATCCTAGTTTAACCATAAGACAAAAAAAAGTTTATTATTTTTCCATTAATCTGTGAGTTTGCTAGGGGAATTCAGGTCTCAGGCCAATTAGCCTGGATGGTCTGGAATGGCCTGGTTCAGATGCTTAGTAATTGGCAGGCTAATTGTTTGAAGGGACCACACTTGTATGTGTGCTGACCGATTAGGTGTCAGATGGAGGAATGTCCTCGTGTCTGTTGGCCATTAGGTCAGTCAGAAGTTACTCACATGATAATGGGAGTGTTCCCAGTAACAAGAGAGGAGTAGCCCCAATTCTAACTTTTCAAGGCTGCCTTTGCATCACATTTGCTAATTCCCCATTTCTATGATGGGGAGAGCAGTACTTTTCTGTCTTACCTCCTGGCATCATCTAGTGTGCTTGCTTTCCTGGGCTCTTTACCATACCTTGAGGAAGAGATAAAACCAGAGAGGCTGATAAGAAGCTGAATCTTCCTAGGGCCCTGTAAGCTATGTGAAGGAATCTGGGCCTTGTTCTCAAGAGCAACGGGAAGCCATAAAACATTTTAGAAGGAAAAAGATCAGTCACTTGTGTAGCAGTGAGAACAGTGATTCTTGTAAATTGGACAGGAAGGAAAATAGTGAGATATAATGTTTTAGTCACAAACATGGGATTATTTTTTAGGCAAAAAATAGGTACACTGCTTTGAATGTATTCCCCTAAGTTCATGAGCTGAAAACTTAAGCCCCAATGCAATACTGTTGGGAGGTGAGACCTAAGAAGGGGCCATTAGGTCATGAGGGCTCTGCCTTCATGAGCAGAATAATGTTATTGCAGGAATGGGCTAGTTATCTCAAGAGAAGACATGTTATAAAAAAAAAAAGTTCGCCCCATTCTTGCTCTTATGCTTTCTGCCATAGGATGATGCAGCCTGAAGACCATCAGATAGAGCCCTTAAATTTTGGACTTCCTAGCATGTGTATTCGTGTGTGTGTGCGTGTGTGCGCTCATGTGTGCCCACGTGTGTGCATGTGTGTGAAGGTCAGAGGATAACCTTGGGTGTCTTTTTCTGCTCAGGCACTGTCTGCTTTGTTTTTGAGACAGGGTCTCTCACTAGCCTGGGGATCACTAATAGGCTAAGTTGGGTGGCCAGAGAGCCCCAGGAATCTGCTTGTATCTACCTCCCCAGTGCTGGGATTACAAGCACACAGCACCATGCCCAGCCTCTATTTTTGTTATATATAGTTTATAGGTTTTGACACAGGTATTAATCCATGTAAGCATCATCACAATCAGGTTCAGAAGAGTTCCACTATCACTCCAAAACCCTCCTTATTGGGGACTGGAGGGATGGCTCAGAGGTTAAGAACATTGACTGTTCTTGCAGAAGATCCGGGTTTGAATCCCAGCACCCACATGGCAGCTAACAAGTGTCCGTAATTTAACTCCAGTCCCAGGGGATCTGACAGTGTCTTCTGCTCTCTTCAGGCACTGCACGACACGGGTGCACTTACCTACATGCAGGCAATACATGCATACACATAAAATAAAAATAATAAATAAAAATATATATTTTTAAAAACCCTTCTTATTGCTACGCCTTTATAATTCCTCAATTTTTTCCTAGCTTCAAGAGTGTCATTTTGAGACTAATTTGTTCCACACAAAAAAAGTATTATGTCACAATGCCAAGTCATTATGTATATGAGTTCTGTATTCCTCTTTCTTGCTAGACATATATTTGATAGTCTCCCCCAGGTCAGTGATGCCACTATCTCCTCTAGGCCCCAAACCTGGTATCTTCCTTGACTCTCCTCTAATTTATACAATCAATATATCAGAAAATCCTGGCAGCTTCACTCTCAAAATAAATCAGAAATCTGACCACTTCTCACCACCTTTAATGGACATCAACTAGTTCAGGCCACCATCATCTTCGAGAATTAATGCTTACATTATTCCTCTACACTCATAGTCTGTTCTCTACACCACAGCTAGAATGATTCTTTTAGAGATTTTAATACTTTATTTATTTTTGTCTTTTTGAGACAGGGTCTCCTTGTAGCCTCAGCTGTCCCAGAACTATGTAGACCAGGCTGGCCTCGAACTCACAAAGATGCGCCTGCCTCTGCCTCCCAAGTGCTGGGATTAAAGGCATGCACCACCACACTTATTTTTATTTTATGTGTATGCATGTATTGCCTGCATGTACGTAAGTACACCCGTATCATGCAATGCCCACGGAAGACCAAAGAGGCTGTCGGATCCCCTGGAACTGGAGTTACGGACAGCTGTTGGCTGCCATGTGGGTGCTGGGATTCAAACCTGGGTATTCTGCAAAAACAACCAGTGTTTTTAACCACTGAGCCATCTCTTCAGCCCCTTTTAGAGATTTAAATCGAATCAAGGCACCCTCTGGCTCGAAACTTGGTTGGGCCCCTGGCTACCTCTGTGTAATATCTACCATTCATTTCTCACTCAGTCAGCTACAGGAGTCTGCTTGCTAGTCCTTACAGTTCTTATTATTCTTCCTGCCTTTTAACTTGACAAGCATGTTCCTACTTCAGAGCATTTAAATTTTCTATCTCCTTTGCTGGAACATTCTTTCTTTAGATATCTACTAGATGTGGCTCACGCCCACCAAGTCAGTCCCATTTTTGTTTAAGAGCTCCTTATCAATGAGTTCTTCTCTAACATGTAAGAAAAGCAGCTGACACCATTGTTTAATCTTTATCCTGCTTTGTTCTTCATAGCACATTTCTGACATTGTATATTTTGCTTTCTCTCTCCAGAACTAATAAAGAATACAGAAGGCAGGAAATTAATTTTGTCTGCTGTTCAATAAACACTGAGGTGAGGACATGGCCAGGCAGATACAGGGAATTTAATGAATATTATGTATTGCATAACTTGTAAAAGGGAAAGACATGATGGAAACACATTGCAAGTAGATTTCCAGATTTCAGGGCATTCAACATTCTGTTATTTCCATGGTAAAGTAGTCAGGGGAAGTGGTATGTGAGAGGCTGGAGATTCATAGAGATAGTAAGGACCAAGGTGACCAGAAGAATATAAATGATGTTTCCAGTCATGCTTCAGAGTTCATTTAGGGGCTAGACCGATGGCTCGGTGGTTAAGTGCCCTGACTGTTGTTGCAGAGGACCTAGGTTCAGTTCCCAGCACCCACATGGCAGCTAACAATCATCTGTAACTCCAGTCCCAAGGACTCCAACATCCTCTTTTGGCCTCTGTGGGCATTGCACAGCATGGGTGCACTTACATACATGCAGATAAAACACCCATACACACAAAATATAAATAAGCAAAAAAATTTAAGTGGATAATTTAGTTATTCCAATCTGTTCTAAAGGACAATTTTCTGATATAGGCATTAAAGTATGTAAGTCCATCCAGGGTAGAGGTCTTAGCTGAGGTAAAGAGAGTGTTACAGTGGGAATGAAAGAGTGGGATTGTAATACTGTGCCACTGAATCTAGGATAAGGAAGTGGAGGAGGTTAACATATAAGAGATAAAGTAGAAGCTGTCAGCAGACTGGAGCCTCTGATAAAGTGAAACATTACTGAGAGAACAGTTATGTTAAAATTCTTAAGTAGGAGCCTGGGAGATTGGTTCAGCAGGTAAAGCTGCTTGCTGTCAAGACTGACAACCTGAGTAGCTGAATCCCTGGTCCCACACAGGGTCAAAGGGGGAGACCAGGACTCTTCCAAGTTGTCTTCTGACGTCCACATGGATGTACACACACACACACACACACACACACACACACACACACACATAAAATGAAGGTAATAAAATTTGAAAACAAAAAAATCTTGGCTAGGGAGAGGCTTAGCTGGTAAAGTGCTTGGTGCCTAAAAATGAGGACCCAAGTTTGGATACCCAGCACCTATGTAAAAAGCCGGGTTTGGGTGCACACCAGTAATCCGAGAGCTGGGGAGGCAGAGACAAAAGGATTCCTGGAGCTTGTTGGTGAGCTAGTCTTGCCAAATAGGTGAGCTACAAGTTCAGTGAAAGACTTTGTATTTAAAAAAAAAAATTCTGGTGACAAGGTCCAAGTTTTGACTAAGACTGGAACGCTGCTGGAAGACCCGATGTTGATGGGCCTTAGACCCAGGAAGATCAAGGAAGAAAGATGCTTAGAGGGGAGAAAGTTAATGCAGGAAAATGCACGCACAAATTGACACACGTTCACTACAATTAAGGGTCGCAGAAGCAATGGCGGTACCAGAATTCGGCAGAGGCCACGCCTTTGAAACCTGCGAAGTGAAAAATACTAATCCATTTGATGGGGGCAGAGTAGGGATGGGGATGGTGTTACAAGAGTTGCAGCTGCTTTGGGAAAGCCAGGTCCAAGAAGAAAAGTTCAGAGAAAAGCACGAACCCTTGATAAGGCTAGCTTGGAAAGCAGGAGACTGGGGATGAGCCCGAAGAAGCAGACACTCTTGACTCCTCTTTTTCCTTCTTTAATCTCTCAATTTACAGCCCACAACGGCCACCCTCCGCAGCCAGAAAGCGGAGAACCGTGTAGGCCGACGAGCCATTTTCAACTCCCCGCGGAAGCGCTCCCACCGGAAGTATTCTGTATTCGCGCTTTTCCATTGGCTGAAGCTCCCACCTGCTTTAAGTAGCTTCCGCTCCCG